GGTGACCACTAGCTGGAACGTCCCCCAGTGCAGCAGCTGCTCGTTCTCATAGTTCTTGTTCTAGTTTCGTTAGTGGTTCATAGTGATGAGGTTAGAGATTAGAGATAGTTACGGGTCTTTGTGGGGATTTCCCCTCCCACACATTCCCAACACTGGGGCATGCTTAGATTCCCGGGCTTCAACGCCTGTGGAGCCTGTGGAAAGTGCATGCCTAAGAGCTTAGGCTTTGAAGTGTGCGAGTTTGCCTCATACTTCGGGTTTGAAATGTTTAGGAGAGAGCTGTCAAAGGGATTGCTGCCCTATCTGTGAACCCTTCAGGGCCCAACCTTTGAAGGGCAGAGTTCAGCGCCTACAGGTTTTCTTAATGGCGGTGGATCTCTGGCCTCAGTCCAATCCCAGGTTGATGGACCCTACATCAAGTACCTCATCCTGGATATGGAGGAATGCCCAGCGCTGAGTAAAGACAAGGCCTTGCAGCAAGTGTGGGCACCGCTCAAGACATCCTCACCCCCCTCTGGACCTACTCACATTGCTCTGCGCCTCAGAATCTTTGATGCAGCAGAAAATGCAGCCAGACAGGACAATCTCCTATTGCTAGGCGTAAGAAGCCAAAAGCTGTGAGACTCAAGTTGGACCACACTGAAGTGACCCCTCCACTGCACTGACGCCCGCCCGTAGGGATCAGCGGTCGAGTCTGGACCCTCCTCAATCTCTGCATCAAACCAGGGACCTGCATCTTCCCTCGATGCCGTGAAACGAAACTTACAGGATCTGCTGACAAAGGGTTCTGGGGTTGACAGATCCCCGTCTCGGCACAGCGTGGCAGTCTACAGTCAGCTGATTGGCACAGCACGATGGCCATTTTGATTTAAACGAAGCGGCTATTATTTAAATCGCAGCTTTATTTCCCTTTTTCGCGTAAACTAATCTACATGGCTCCGTCGATGGAGCCATGTAGTTTAGACGTACCCTAAAAGAGAGGAATGCAATCCTCTTTTTATTAAGTATAAAAAAGGAGGATTTAAGTGCTGGCCAGTGAAAACAGACAGATCAAAGTAAGTTACTAAGCCAAAACAAAGCAAAACACACCAGCTACAACTAACATGCTAAAAGAAGTTGTTATAAATCCTATTTCTCACTCTAGTTCTCATTTCAGGTGCAGTTCTCCGCAAGCCAGAGCTGATCTCTTTGGGTATGTCTACATTAGCTCATTAATTCGAGCTAGGTAGGCAAATGAGGCGACCGGAGTTGCAAATGAAGCCCAGTATTTAAATATCCTGGGCTTTATTTGCATGTTCCCGTCCAGTCGCCATTTTGAAATTTCACTAGCCAGAACTCACTACCGCGCACCTACACGCGGCAGTGAAACGTTAATTCGAACTAAGTCCTTAGTTCGAATTAACTGCTACTCCTCATGGAATGACAGTTAATTTGAACTAAGGACTTAGTTCGAATTAATGTTTCACTGCTGCGTGTAGGTGCGCGGCAGTGAGTTCAGGCTACTGAAATTTCAAAATGGTGACCGGACAGGAACATGCAAATAAAGCCTGGGATATTTAAATCCGGGATTCATTTGCAACTCCGGTCGCCTCATTTGCCTACCTAGCTCAAATTAACGAGCTAGTGTAGACATACCCTTTTTGACATGGGCCCAGCAGTCGTCCTCTACCTCTTTCGTGACAGTTCTCTTTTCTTTTCCAGGTGTTCTTGTGTATCCATGCATGGAGGTTAGGTCCATCAATGGCTATTAGCCAGGATGGGTAGGAATGGTATCCCTAGCATCTGTTTGTCAGAGGCTGGAAATGGATGACAGGAGAGTGATCACGGAATGATTACCTGTTCTGTTCACTCCCTCTGGGGGCAACTGGCATTGGATACAGTTGGAAGACAGATGTAGGCAAATGAGGCGACCGGAGTTGCAAATGAATCCCGGATTTAAATATCCCAGGCTTTATTTGCATGTTCCTGTCCGGTCACCATTTTGAAATTTCAGTAGCCTGAACTCACTGCCGCGCACCTACACGCAGCAGTGAAACATTAATTCGAACTAAGTCCTTAGTTCGAATTAACTGCTACTCCTCATGGAATGACAGTTAATTTGAACTAAGGACTTAGTTCGAATTAATGTTTCACTGCTGCGTGTAGGTGCGCGGCAGTGAGTTCAGGCTACTGAAATTTCAAAATGGTGACCGGACAGGAACATGCAAATAAAGCCTGGGATATTTAAATCCGGGATTCATTTGCAACTCCGGTCGCCTCATTTGCCTACCTAGCTCAAATTAACG